TTGTTTTACCACTCTTGTCTGCTAATTCTAACATCTGCATCAGTTTTAGGTCAGTTTCAATTGATTGATTTTTCTCCTCATTATGAGTTATGTTTTCCTGCCTCTTTGTATGTCTGATAATCTTTCACTGGATGTCAGACATGGTGAATTTTTTCTTGTTTGGTGCTGGATATTTCCATATTCTTATAAGTATTCTTGAGCTCTGTTTTGTTATGCAACTACTTGGAAATAGTTTGATCGTTTTAAGTTTTGCTTTCAAGGTTGATTAGTCAGGGCTGGAGCACTGCCCAATCTAGAGCTAGCTGTTCTCCATTTCTGAGATAGAACTTTTCTTTGTTCCCTGTGCAATACCTGTGAATGTTTAGTCTGGCTGTTGGTAATAGCTGGTTAATACTCAACCAAAACTTGCAGGAGACCCTCTGAAGATCTCTATCCAGAGTTGTCTGTCTGTGCAGCTGTCTCTTCCCTAGTACTCTATCTTGGTACCTCTATCTGCCGCTGTCTCCCTGGACTCTCAGCAACTTCTCAACCCAGGGAGTCTTCTTGGATTTCTCTTCTGTATGCCATGACCTAGGAACTAGCTATGGGATTCACCTCATGTATTTCCATGTCTCATGGATCACTGTCCTTTGTTACCAGATGTCCAATGTCTTGAAACTGTTGTGTTATATATTTTGTCCACTTTTTGGCTGTTTTAAGAAGGAGGATATATTCAGTACCTATTGTCTTATCTTGGCTATAAGTGAAATGCATCTTAAACAGCCCCTCAGATGTTGCCAGATGAATATTCTGTCACTCTGGGGAATCTCACTAAGACTTGATAAGGATGGGAGAGGGTAGCTCTACTGGTCACGGAATACCTGAGGCTTATTTTTGGGTATTCTTTGTGACTTTTCCACCTTGAAACTTCCATGGTGTTCATTTTAATGGAATTTCACCGTAATGAAAATAGCCACTCCCCCAGCAACAGTATTTAATGTCTATGCTTCACTGCTCCCTCTCAGTCTCCAGTGGACCCCACTGATCCACCCACACCCCAAAGGCTTGGATCTGAGGCTGTAGGAGTCCAGACTAAGTGCTGGTAGAGATTACTATGAAGTCAGAGAAATGCTCACTAAGGCCTGAACACATCATCCTCAGAAACATCTCACAAGGGGAAACGAGACCATAATAAGATCTGATGAGTCTTCTAGGTTGAGTTTCTGAAATATTTGTCTCTCTCTGAGTCTCACGTGGCCTTACTTGGGTCACAAGCCCATCCCTCAGCCTAGAGGGCTCCTCTCTGGGGTTGCATTTTGGGGAAATCAAATAAAAGGCAACCATACATACTGCTTTGGGGCAGAGAACAGTCCAGTTCTCCCCAGGTCTCTTAGGCTATCACACTGGGTCTCTGCTAATCCAGACATAATGATTATCCTGTTAGTGCAATGTCAGTAGCAAGCTAGACAAGGAGTGACAGACAGCCTGGCCTCAGACAGGAGACACATTCACTAGTTGTAGTCATTAACAGTTGATAGAAATAAAACACATTTTATTTCTAAGTAGACATTAATATGTGTCCAATTTATCAAACCAAATGGAGCTGACAAGTGTGGGTGTGAGAGATCCATTTTTTCCCTTTCATATTAGAAATCAGTTTTATTTTTAGAAACGTGCTGTTTTTTTCTCCTTTTAAGCAAATTTTGTCCCTACACATCTATTACCCAAGGGCCTGGGGTAGGCCCCTCTTGTGTAGGAGAAGCAAAGTGGCCTTTAGACTTAAGGTCCCTTCTACTCTGGCCAGTCCAAGAGCACACAGCAAGAGGACCCAGGGAGGAAGGAAGAGAGGCCTCAGGCTTCTATTTCCCTGATACCACGGAGCAGCCAGTCCTTGCCCTGAATACCCACGGCTTCATAAGGAGGCTCGGACAAGGAGAGAGACGAGGTAAAGCACATAGGAGGTAAAGTACCACAGTGACCATCCGCGCAGAGGGCTGGACTGGCCCCAGGACGACCCATCACTGCTCCTGCCCAGGAGAAAGCCAGGGAAGCCATAGGGGGCTGCCGCCTCCCCCGCTTCGACCTCTGACCCCTCCTGCTCCTTCTTTCCAGGCCAGAAGGGCACCCAGACTTGGGATGCTCTTCCTGGGACAGGGAAGAGGGCAGGAAAAACAAACAAAAGACAATTCTGGTACCCATGAAGGCAGGATGGACCAAGCTGGGTGTCTGTTTCTGAGTGTCTGCTCGGGCGGTGGCGGGGCGTGTGCACACAGGGCATACAGCCTTGTCTATCGGGAGACCTGCTGGAGCAGAGGGTTCCGAGGGACTGATGAGGCTGGACAGAGAAGCCAGGAAACACAGAAGCATTCGATTTGTGACCGTCTATAAGCAACCAAGAGGAAGTGGGATTCTTTGAAAACTCAAGTTAGATCAGGTGACTGTTTTGCTCCAAAGCCTTCATCTCACTGCAGGTGAGGTGTCCTCGGGAGTGTCTGTCAGAGCTGGTCTCCTGTGGCCCTCTGACTTCCACTCCTGCCCTTTCTTCTTCCCTCCCTCTGTCCAGCCCCTGTGGCCCCTCACTATTGTGTGAACACAGCAGGTACCCCGCACCGGGCCACTGCAGGGTGTGCTTCTCTGGGGGCTCTTTCCCCACGTTTCCATGGCTCAGTCTGTCTCCTTCCATCCTTCATTCAATGCTACCCTCTCCCAACGTTTGTCATGCCCTTAAGCCCAGCACGCCCAGCACTCGTTACAAGTCTGTTTATTTTCCACACCACTTATTGTTAGCTGCCAGCACATTCTATAACTCACATATTGAGTTAGTGTTTGACTCTCCGAACGGAAGGTAAGCGCCACGAAGACAGAGTTTTGGAGCTTTGTGGGGGGCATCTGTTTGAAAACTGGTTTATCTCCCCTGCCTAGAACAGCACCTGGCGTGTGGTAGGTGTTCAAAAAATATTTAAGTGAGCTAACCAACTGAAACAGAGGCCATTCCACCAATCATGGAACACAGAGAGACCCAGCCCCACACAGGAATTTAGAGCTCTGTTCAGGCATTAGAGTCTCTAGGCCGGACTGGGATTAAGTGCTGTAGCCAATAGGAGACATTTATAAATGCCTGGGTCTGTTACTCTTTTTATTTCACTTCACTTCACTTCACTTCATTCCATTCCATTTTATTGTGGTAAGAACACTTAACATGGGACCTACCCTCTTAACAGATTTTTAATTATTGTAACTGCCGTGTTTATAATCACGTAATTCTATGGGCCTGTTGTCCTGTAGGTACATAGTTGGGGCACAAAAAACCAAAACCTTGCTGATTTGACTTGATTGAAACAGTATTGGGGATGTTAAGAAACCCAACCAAGTGATTGCTTATCACACAGACAAAGAGAAGTGCTTTGTTAGTTGGATTTCCCGAAGGTGGCCGCATTCCTCAGCCACCTTCCCTTCTTTCCTCTGTGAAAGGGAGGGGATCTACTTAACAGTCCTGTAATGCTCCAACCAGGTCCCCTGAGGGACACGGGAGTGAACCGTGTGCTGTCTGGAGCCATTTATGCTGGATGTGAAGAGCGAGCAGTGCACAGTGTGCAGCCAGAGACAAGCCCTTGTGCGCGCACACACACATGCCCTCACACACAGCCGTGAGACGCGGGGCGGGGAAGGGCTAGGAGTCTCCCAAGGCATGCATCTGTGGAGGCTGATGGCTCCTGAACACCTGGCCAAGGTGGAGACAGGCAGTGGAAGAGAATGAGCGGACTAGAGGTTCGGATGAGGTCAGAGGCAGAAGAGAAAGGAAACAAGATGTGATCAACAGAATATGAGCCCTGCACTCAGGGGGGTTAGGTGGCATGTCTCAGGAGACACAGGACAGGGGAGAAATCTGTGAGGGGCTCAGCGTGCACAGGCTAAACCTTGCAGAAGGAGGCCCTCTGCCCAGCCCAGGCCAGAGCTTCCCCACCACGGCCTGTGCCTGGTGCCCCAGGTGCCCATACAAGGAGCACGCGTGTGAGTGGCCAAGGACAGCCATTAAACTAGGAGTTTGGGGATCATAAACAGCATGATGCAGCTGTCCAGGGTGACAGATTAGGCACCAAAGGCTGACGGTTCACAGAATTAAAAACAGGCTTTCAAGGTCCGCAAGGAACCTCGGGGATGTAACTCAATTTGCTGATTTTAAAGCAGAGAAGATGACTCAGCTGCACGCGGAGTCAGGAGGAAACAGGGACTAGAACCCTGGCCTCCTGGCCCCCCCCACAGAGCGGGTTTCTGCTCTGTTTCTGTGTCCACGGGGTAGAGACAGGGCAGACGAAGAGGAGGGCGTGGGGGTCCCTGGCCGGCTCCTTCATGGGGCGAGCTACTTGCACTGCTGCTGCAACAAAAGCGGTCCTCAAGAGGCAGCAGTGAGGGTCCTGGGGGCAAAGGTCAGCCCCCACCAGGGGCCTGGTCACATTTTGATGCTGAACCGCATCAAAAAAAAAAAATGAGGGAAAGAGATGGGATGAGAAAAAAAGGGAGAGAGAGGAAAGGAGAAACTGGACTCAAAGAAAAGTAACCCACTTAGCTTCACAGAAGGGGCTCAGTAAGACTTTTGAAACAGCACCCAGCTAATCCACATCAGAAGCTCCATGCCCTTTGTTCCTCAGCCATTAACTGTTTTACAGATGGGGACACTGAAGCCCAAAAGGGCTCATGCCTGGCACAGAGCTACACAGAGCACTTGTGACCTGTAGGGGCAGGAGTTCAGCAGCTGCTGCCTCAGACTAGATTCCGGATTCCTGCTACTCCACCAGGGTCCCCCTGGGAGCCTGTCACTGACAGTAGCTGCAGGGGCCTCTCTGCAGAGAAGGGCACGCACACTCGTCTCTCTCACCAGTGCTCTCCCTGCCATCAGGGAGGGAGTTTGTAGAGACAGACCTCCCACCACCGAAGAGATGGTTTCATAAAGAGTCTTCTGCGGGCAGCTGGAAGGCTAGGCTTGGCTCAGCCCCACCTCCCTCCAGGAGACAGACACTCACCATTCATCTGGGAGGGCGAGGACGAGTATTCCCGTTCTGTGTGCCGCCGGTCTGGTTTCAGGTTGCGGCTTTGTCTGCCAGAGCCTTCCAACATGTTCACAATCTCGCTGCGGTCAATGTTCCTCAGGGCGGCGAACAGGTTCTCCACTGTCGGGAGAAGAGAAGAAGGCGCTTGCGGAGGGAATTCTAGTTACTGCAGGGCAGGGTGGGAATGTCGCTGGGGCTCTGAAATCATGCCAAGAGGAGATGGGAGAAAGGAGGGAGATGACTGATTTTTTTCAGAGCATGGAGGCATTGCTCTTTGGTCAGAATCAAAACAAACTGCTTCTTTAGAGAAGATTTCATGACCCTTCAACAGATCTTTTCCAAACCCTAACAGTGGCCAATTTCAAAGCATGGAAAGACTTTTTTTTTTTTTTGTCATTTAAGAGGAATGCTACAAGAAAAGGAGAGTGAGAATAACTGGATTCTATCTTTTTGAAATCCTTGGTCCTTGCCAGTTGATTTCAGATGCAAATGGAAACAGTCAATTTCCTCTTGGTGTTTGTGACTATGGGACTTTGGTTGAAGAGGATCTGAAAAGAGTGAGACAAATCTTCCCTTCAGGTTGGAGAAAAAGACGCTGCTGAGAACAAGGACAGGCTTTGCCCACCCATGCTCTGTCCTGAGAGAACAGTTCTCATTTGTTTAAGAAATTCAACAGGAAGTCACACACTGTACACATATGCTGTCATGTAGGGGTCCTAGTGCAATTGTTATCTTATTCTGAGTTTGGGGGAAAGATGGAGGCCAAGATTCTCTGGCACTGTCTTCTGGCAGGATTGCCTAGAAGACTCAGTGACCCCGATAGGTGTGTGTGTGTGAGAGAGAGACAGTGACAGAGTGCAAAAGAGACTGGTTCCAAAGGCCAACAGCACAAATGGAATTTGAAGGAAGAACTACTTTGGTGAAGGCTAGGTCCTGGCACAGGCTTTGGAAAGAGAAGTCCTCCTCAGCTTAATGGTACTGACTCTTTGCATTTTTGCCTTCACGGATGACCCAGAGGTTCAACAAGGCTGCGCTCTGCTCCAACAGCGAGTTGGGGTTTTCTACGCGGATCCTGTTGATGTCTTCCACACTGAACTGAAGCTCCCGGGCCAGCTCTGCAAGCAAAGAACCAAGACCAGGTGTGAGCCAAGTCAGAATTTGGCTCCAGCTCCCAAGATGGGCCCTGTGGACTGGGGCATCTGGTGGGGAGCACTGGAAGACTCCCTTTGGATTTGGTATTCCTTCTTACCAAGAAATACCTAGTGAAATGCAGACACCTACATTTTTATACCCTCAGAAAATGGGGCAGGAGTAAGGGTGCTCAATAAATAGGTATTGAATAAATGAATGGACGAATGCCCTTTCTTTCATCACTTCAAATATGAGATGAGGAGACAGCTTCTCAGCAAGGTTATCAACTGATCCAAGGTCACAGAACAAGCTGGTGCCAGACCTGGAAGTGGGGTTGAATTTACTAATGCCCACTCCAATGCTGTCTGTGCTATACCAGGATGCCACTTACTTTCCACAGAGCAGCAATTATAACAGAAATGCATTTCTGTATTTGTGTTTCTTCAGGGAAAGGCATTATTTACATTTAAAATGAAAATACAAGTTCCCATCTAAATGCAACGCAATAACACAGAATGTTCCATTTTCCCCTCCCATTATTTTAGTGTTATTTTTCACAGGTGTTTTAGAAGGGAGAACAGCATCAGAGTCTAATTTCAAGGATGAGGACGGCCAGAGGGAGATTGATAGTGAGATAAGAGGGTGCATGTAACACACACGCGCGCGTGCTCCCACCCAAGAAGCAGCAGCAGACATTCTTTTTTGCCTTCAAAAAAATGAACATTTTTCTGAATTTCTGTTGTGAACTATTGTCACACTGCCTTTCAGAAGCTATTGCTAGGATTTCTGAGTTTGTCTGTCACTGCAGGGTGACTGAGTGATGGGAGTCCATTCACACAAAAGCTACCAGAAAAAAAGGGTGAGGGGAGAATTAAGTTATAGGACCTGTGATTGAGTAAAGCACATTTTAAGCTTCCACTTTATTTTGCCCATCGCCTCACTTCAAATAAGGTCAATCATTATTGTTGACAAGACATCTGGTCGACGTCAGCTACTACCGGAGATTATAAATGAAAAATATTGAGACTTGCTCTTTAATTCCCCTTTTCCCTCAGCGACACCATCCTGCGAGGAAAGGCAATGTGTAGAGTGTAGGAGGCAGTGGACAGGCCGCCAGGTGACATATTATTTGTTTGCTGGCTTTTCTGGGCTCTGCCACTAACTAGCTACATAATTAAAGTCATGCTATTTAGCTGGATCTCAGTTTTCCCATCTGTAAAATGAAGTGAACTAGGTCAATTCTAAGGTCTCTTATTATAATATCAAATGTTGATTCTTTCTTAACAAAGGAAAACCAGACAGAAGTGTAGGATGGAGGCAGCTTCCCTCTTTCATTGGCCCCCCAAAGGCACTGCTTGGGCGACAGACCTATCTAAGCCAATCAGAGCAGATATACAATGGATAGTAAAACAAGGTTTAGAAATGCTTCCATCAGGTTCTCATTAGAGGAGACGAGGTGTAGGGGTAGGTAGATGTAGACAGGCAAAGTGCTTTTCTACCTCAAATTCCCCAACTCACCTGCCCAGCTGAGGCCAAGGTGTTCTGATATAATAGCCATCTTCATATCTGCTCGGTCTGTCCCACTGAGAAAACCTGGGGAGAAGCATTGGGTTTCACTTAGCCTCGCAGGACACAGAATAGACAGGGGTGAGTAAATGACCTCAGATGGATGCTCAGATCAGGTGAGGGCCTCACAGTACACCAGATAGATTGCTAAACCTGTAAGGGTCAGGTGGAGAGGCAAGCCAAAGGTTCCACCTGCTATATTCATAACACGTTGAGTCCAACGTGTCACGTTGAGCTCTTGTCAGGGGGAGGGGAAGCTCACTCACTCACAAGCTCCTTGGGAAGGGAGCAAGCACATATCATCACAAAGAGGTTTATTATACCCTGTGTTGATTCGCTGAGGATGCTGTATCTCAGGGCCAGCGGTGTCAAAGTCCTTCTCCTGTCATCGACTCCACTCGCCTGCAGAAGGAAGACAAAGAAAGGGTGCTTTGGGTTCTGGGCTGGCCCCCTTCATGGAGAAGGTGATTCAAGCTTATAGGCTGTGGGCTATGGAATGACGCCCCGTTCTGGCAAACAGTAAGTACTCACTTCTTTGGAGCCTGAACACAAAGAGTAGAAGTGTGGGAGGAGATAGAAGTGAGAGGGAGTTGAGGAAGCTCATATACTTTAATAATAATAATAATGGGAAAATCATCTGGCCCTGATCATGTGCCAAGCCCTGTGTAATGTGATGCTCACAACTAGCTATGTGGTAGGTATTATGATTATTCCCATCTCATTGATATGGAAACTGAGGCATAGAAGGGTTAAACAACTTGCCCAAGGTCTCTCATCTAATAAGTGGGGGAGCTAGGGTTTGAACTTAAAAAACCAAGTTTTTCTTTCTGGATTCTTTTCTGCTCAAAAGGCCCATTTTTTACACTGGCCTGAGGCTTAACACCCTGGCCTTGTGGAAAAGCTCCCTGATGTTTGCTCAAGGCTGCAGGAAATCCTATTTGGAAAGAGAACTGGGTTCACCCTGGTCCCCAAACAGAAAAGAGAAATTGAGCCGCAGATGTATGAATGGAACTTTGCTTCTTTTCTAGCTTGGCATGGAAGGCTGATAATTACAACAGTTGCAAAACAACACCAACAAAAACATGGAGACATATTATCTCTCCAAAGTCCCTATGATAGGTACTGATGGTGATACTCCTACTGCATAGATAAATAAACATACTTCGTCAAGACGTCTTTGCTGAGCTCAGAAACCTGGGTGTTTGCAGGGGCTGAGACACCAGGGTTCCCTTCTCTGAGGGCCTGGCTCCCTGGGGAAGGTAAGCAAATACATGGAAAAAAGGCTCAAACAAAAAGCTATCAAATAGTTGGGTGACCTTGAGCATTATAGACACATACCAGGTACTATGAAAAGTGTTTGACCTGGTGCCCAGTTCTAAGCCTCAGAAGCCTCAGACAAGGGGTACCAGGGTGGATGCCTTTCAGGCTCCTTTGAACCTTCTAGAAAGAACAACCTAGACAGCTCAGGCCCCCAGTGAACACACATATTGCCATCTCACACTGATGTTTTGTTCCTGAGCTTTGCAGAAAGGGCCAGGACACGCTCTCCCTGCCAGGTCACAGCCACATGTCCTGAGGAGACTGAAGAGCCTTTCTGGGCCTCAAAGAATTCCAAGGCAGCTTTTCAACAGGAGGAAGTGCTTTGGAAGTGCTCGACCTGGAGGCTGTTTTGGGACCTCCTCAAGGACCCCACCTCTGGCTGAGGGTCCTCCTCAGGCGGCAGCTCACCTTGATGCAGGGGGGCATGGTGATATTCAAGTGGCAGAGGATGTGCTGGGTGTCCTCATACTTCATTGCCTTGCGCAGAAATAACAAAGACCCGCCTGGCTCTCGACTGCTGTCCCTCACCTAAGTTCAATCACACAAACAGAAGATTCAAGGGCTGTTCTCTAGGCCGCCAGGTTGGCTGAGAGATTTCTGCCTCCCAAACTTTCTAGACCCAGACGAGAGATTGGCACCTTTACGGGAATGGCCAAACGGTTCTCCCGAAATGACTGGAAGTGAAAACTCCGCTGCTGGGCAGCTTTTTTGACAGGTACCAGGTTCCCAGAAAGTTCCGCAAACAGGGGCATTCCTTCTAAAACCTGTAGGAAGGGAAAAGCAAACACAGCTTGTCAGGCAGAAATGCCCAGATAGCCTGTCCTGCCTTTCAGCTTTGATCTTTCCTTCCCCACAACACACCCTTTCTACAGCGTGAGGCACAGTGGGTGTGCTCTGAGAAACCCCACTGTTTGTATTGGAAAAGGCTTTGTTTCCCAGGTTATGCTTCCTTACTGAAAAGATTTCATAATGAGCAGGAACCTTCATATATCTTTGTGTAGTTGATCAAGATTGCTGGCAGAGTACTCTAGAGCTCCACCAGGATATCAGCGCTTATTATCACAAGTCACTGGGCCAACAGTGGCTCCTCACCTCAGGTGAAACTTCCTTAGGATGCTGTTCAAGAGGGGATTAAAGAGACCCAGCCTAGGACCTTCTCCCAACCTCCCCTCCCCCAACAGGAGGATTTTCTGACTGCTCCGGATCACAGTATCCTGGAGAAAACAAACCACAAGTGCCCTGTCCTAGCTCCAGGAGCTGTGTCTCACTGTGAGAGAGAAAGGCCTGTGAGTGCCACGTAATAAAGGGAACCAGGTGCTGTACCTCTATGTCCCTGCTCCGGGCCACCTCGACAAAGTTCTCATGCTGCTCAAGGGTCTTGTCCACCTTATCATCCGTCATACAGTAGCAGCGCAGCCGCCCCTCTCGGGGGTCATTCATCTTGGCGAAAATGACAAACTTGGCCATGTAGGGCACTGCAGTAAGCTCCTTATACAGCAGAGTGGCGAAGTTCACAGCCTCAGCAGTCCGAGGACAGTCTGACAGCCAAAACCTGGAAAGAGAGGGCTAATTATAATCATGTTCCTAAATGCCCGATGGACAGCTTCATTTCCATCCAGATAGGAGCAACATGTGATCATGCGATGGCCCCTCTAACATGCCCGGTGGTCATGGCAGGGCTTCTACATGTAGAGGGGCAGTGGAAGATGCTCAGGTTCAAGCCTGGTCAGGGCATGAGGATGGCTACCTGCACTGACCCCTCAGTGCAGGGCCCTGGAGCCCCCTGGGCTGGGCTGGGCTGGGATGCACCTCACCTGGCAGAGACATTGGTGGTGAAGGTGGCACACTCATTGGCATACACGAGCTTGGTTGTTCCTGTTATATCTTCCCACTGGGCTTGATCTGTTCCTCCTACAACAGGAGCAGAAATGGGCTGGGGGATGGTCTTCAGATGTAGGCACAGAGCTTGCCTAAACATTAAGGGCCAAGCGGGCAATAGCTGAGACGGGCACATCTGGATGCAGCCCTGAGCACACCTATTTTCTCATACTCTCCTCCTCCTAGCAACCTGCAGCACTCCTCCTCTAGGGAACTGAGGGCTCTACCCAGAAGGATCTCCCTTCCATCCCTTGGAAGCGCACATCACCAGGAGAAGCCAACAAAACATGGGATGATTGTTAGCTTCCCCTTTTCCTGTCTCCCCCTGTGGCCAAAAGGAGGACAGAAGATAAGACAGAGGCAAGGGGGCACCTCTCACCAATGACACTGCAGAGCAGGCGCAGGCTGGTGGTGTCTCCCTCTCCACTGTCCCGCGGATTGTCCGTCCAGGAAGGAGGGAGTGGGATCCGAAGCCCGATGGGGCGGTGGAACTTCCGGCGCCGTGGCTCCACGGTGACAATGGGGCTGAACGTGGCTTGGTTGCCCAGGAGTTTGGTGACCAGTTCATCTGGTACAGGCTGGGCCTGCAAAGTGCCAAAGGGGGGTGGACACTCAGCCCCAGAACAACTCAGCTCACGGACAGGAGGCAGCACCATCTCCGAGGGGAGAGCAGGCTGTCTACGCAGAGTGAAAAGGCTCCTGGGGGAGGGGGTGTCTCATGACGGCTGACCACAGGGCCTGCCCCAGCTCTCACGTCACTGCTTGGCCCTCCTTTCTGAGCACTTTCTCCCCGTTTCCCCACTGCTCCTCATTCCTGGGATGGTGCCATCTTTACTCAGCATTAGGTACCCTTCCAGGAAGCCATGTGTAACTCCCTCATGCCATGTAGATTAATGCATTATCTGGGGCTGTCTGAAACCCACCCAACTTTCTTTTGAGCTTTACGATCAAATCTCTACCTAAAATTTTCAGGCATTGGACAAAAATGTGGAGGATGTCCTGGGGAAAACAGTCCTTTTCCTGAAGATTTGAACTCCTTCCACCCTCCATGAACTGTCTGAGTGGTCGTGGGGACACCCAGCTGGTGGAGAGGAGGAGGGCTGTGTCACCTGCAGAGCCAGTTTCACTCTCTTGGTGACAGCATTTTCTGGGAATGTCGCCTGCACCAGGGGGACCAGCTTGCTCTTCAGAGAGCCCCCTTCAGGGCCGATGGTGTCATAGTCCTGGCAGAGCCGTGACATGATCACGAAGTACAGGGGGAAGTCCGTGGTGATGATGCGGCAGACCCTCTTCTTCTCCAGCTCTTCCAGACTCCCGAGCTCTGGAAGCACACAGCAGGGTGCCACCAGCCCAGTCACGCTGAGTGCAGGCTCAGCCACCTCTGTGTCCCAGAGCCCCCTCAACCCCCGCTTCTGGAGCACGCCCCCTCCCCCCCCCAGGCACCCAGCAATGGGGCTGAGCAGCCTGGAGGGAGAAATCTCGGGGTCCAAAAGGTCCAGCAGAAGGAGATGCAGGTGGCGGTCAGGGGCCAGGTGCTCACTCAGATGCCCTAAGGACTGGGAACCGGACCTAATGGGGCCATCTCTAGTCTCTCAGGGCTCCCCACACTCCAGGTGGCCCCAATGGCCCACCCTAAAAGTGCAACCTCAAATCCCATCTTCCAGAAGGAGGGCACCTGCACTGGGATCCCTGGGTCTCTGTTACCTTCGTCCATCCCGTTGAGGATCTGATCCAGGTAGCTTTCTCCGTAGCGACTCTTGTGTTCCTTCCACACGGAGCCGTTTTCACTCCGCAGCACCACAAGCTCCCGGTCCCCGCGGCCATGGGAAGCAAAGTGGGGGATCTCCACAATCACAGGGCTGAGGGGACAGAGCAGAGGGTGGAGAGGTGTCTGGATGCAGACGATCACACCTTCCGGGCAGGCAGCCAGGGGCGAAGGAAGGGAAGAGCTAGTGGGGCAGGGTAGTCCGTGCCCGCCTGGAGTGGGAAGGGGTCCCGCAGCCACAGTGGGGGCCGCCCCCCGTGGGCAGGTCCTGACAGTGGAACAGATCTGCGCAGGTCCCGTCACTCACCACCAGGCCCCGTCTCACTTCTCAAGGCTGAGGCTCAGCCAAATAACCTTGCCCTTGGACCTGATCCTTAGAACTGGCCTGAAGCCTCTAGACAAGGGACCGAAGCTCTCTGAGCCTCAGCTTCCTCGTCTATCAATCAGCGATAATGACATGTCCTTTGCAGGGAGGCTTTGAGGAGTACATTTAAAATGGAAAATTAACACGAAAGCCTTCCGCAGGCTGCTTTACAAATGGTAGATGAAAGCTCGAAGGTGGGGACAGGCAGTGGATGGAGATAGGAAGGCAGGGCCTCCGGGGTAAGATCTGTCCCGACATTACAGCCATGGTGCCTGACGAATAACAAAGCTCCTAGTAGAAGCAGCTCAGCCTGCCTCAGACGAGGTGAGAAATGGGCCTGGAAACCCATTGATCTTGCCGTCCTTGGGGGCAATGCTCTAAAGCTGTCTTCTAGTAAGAGCGCTTCAGAGCTGAAATGATTAAACCCTTGAGGGCCCCCAAAGTAGCCCTGCCTTTTCTGTCCCTTCTCTGGTGTCATACAAGCTCTGGGAGTATTAAGCGCCACCTGGGCTATGGACTCCTTGGTGTATCTAAGGAAAGGCAGTGAAAGTGGGAATGACAGCTCCGGTTTCAGGACGGTAATGAGGTGACACGGGGCTCCAGGGCGTCCCTCTCCCTCTGCCCTGTGGCTCGATGGTTCTGGGTAGTTGTTGCTGAAGTGGCAGTAATGGACCAGCAAGGACAGGTTAGGGACGCGCTGCACACGCACACCCAGAAAGAGAGCCCTCTTACCTCAAGAACTGGGCCCCTGTGGGCCCCAGCGCAATGATCCTGCTGGCCAGGCCTTCCTCCTCGGCAAGCGGGGGCGGCGTGCTCAGCTTCTGTGGCTTGACCAGGCGGCAGGTGATGCGAGTGGGTGCCGCACATGTCCGAGGCGGGATCACCACCCTCAGGCCATTGTGACGGCTCCCCCGCATTGAGCCTCCCCGAGCGTCCACCATGAAGCTCACCAGAAACCTAGGACACAGGCAGATCCACATTGGGCTTCCATGCGCTCTCTTTGAGACAGGGAAAGTGTGGGCCCGGAATCCTTGTCACGGGGTCACTCACCCTGTGTGGACGGGGCTGGCCACCGGGCTGATGTTATCTGAGGTCTCTGTGGCTGGGCTGCTGGGGATGAGTGAGTCTTCATCATACTCTTTAGATGCCTGAGGAGGAGAGAAAGGTCAACTGTCCTAGTACCTCCCAGGCCACCGGTGCTGGTCCGAGGCCAGCTCATATTGTGCCAGGCAGGGGAGGCTCATCGCCAAAAACCACGTGGGCCAACGGAGGCAGTTCTCGCACACACTCACCACGAGGCCTTTGGGGACAAGGCCTGCCTGGAGTCTAAGAGGCAGCATGGGCTTCTTCCTACCATCATGGCTGCTCCTTAGCTCTAGACCCTGGGACAGAGCTTTGGAATAGAGGGAACAAGTCCTCACTCCACTCTGGCTTCAGTCCTAGTTCCTACACCCACTACGGACCTCCCCACCCTGCTCTCCAGCTATACATCAGCGTGAAACCTCTGCTCTAGGCGGCTTGCTTTCACACCAGAATTGGCAACGGACCCTGCGCCATCACCTGCTTGTTGTTTAGCTTTGGGCAAGGCACTTGTCCTGTAAGCATCTGAGGTACATGAAGTGAATGGAATAGATCCTTGCCCTTGGGGGGTTTCTTGTTTCCTCCTCTGCAGATGAGACGGTCCCCTGCCTCACAGTAACATTGCAATTATGGGGACATGGGGCTGACTCGCACAGGGTTCTACATCGCAAGGACTCATGAAAACTAGCAGGGTCTGAATCCGGCCCGGGTCCCCTCCAGGTTTTTTCTTAACGCTGCTTTTACGCGTGCTTCCCCACTGGTGCAGACGCCCTTGCCTCTCCTTTGCTGGTCCAATTCCATTCATTTTTTAATGTGTCTCCTCCTCCATGAATCCTTCCTATTGGCTCTAATCTGGATAAACTCACACCACACAGTTGAACACTTTGATAATTACCCTTCCTGCATTCTGTGCTAACTGGTTTCGCATATCTGAGTACACCCTTGCCAGTTGGACCATTAGCTCCTAGGAGGCAGGTATGGGTCTCTCATAGTCCGCCATCAAGCCCTATACAGGGCATATAGTAGGACTCTAGTAAACACCTGCTGAGTTGAGTTCATGATGTAAACGAGGAGTCAAAGAGAATGGGTTGGTCAAAGAACAGCAGGACACAGAGCCACTTGGCTGCTTTCTCATCTCTGTCTTTGGCAGCATTCAGGGAGCGTGCCTCAGCAGTACTCGGGCTGTATCTGACCAGATCTCCCAGATGCCACCCAGTGAGTCACACCAACATCCATCACTATGATATGCCCAGCATGGAGGAGCTGGCTAGACAGCTTCACAGCCGGCTTATCATGCATGCCATTGGGGTCCAGGTTATGGTTGCTGAGTTCGGACACACACTCTTTCAAGTGGCAGAGGAAGAGACCAGCCTTTGCTGGGCACAGACATGGCTATGTCAGTTATCAGGGCTTGGTCAGTCATTTCCAGCCTCTAAACACCACACTGCTTTCTTTTTATCCTAGAATGCCCCCTTGCCCTGGTAAAACGTGCCAAATGGCATAAAATTAAATGATGGGGAATTAAATTTTTTAAATCCCTTTTTGGGGACAAATTCAGGTGGCATCCAGGGAAGCCACAAACTAGGGTACTACAGTGAATAACAGCCCCCACTAGAATCATTCTCTCTGACATCCCTTTTCTTTCTGTATTGGCATTTTCAGCTCCCAATAATCCTTTGAGGAAGGTGACGCAGAAACTGCTCCCTTTTTTACAGACGTGAAAGAAAATGAGCGCACAGTTCCATGACTTGCCGTGGTTTCTAGTAGGTACAGGCTGCAGCCTCCAGCCCCCTCTCCAGCACCATGACCCACTACCCTCATGGGTGCAGACAGTGTGTGCACAGGGGTGGTGGTCATGAGAACACGGGCTGTGAAGCCAAAACTTCTAGTGTCAGTTCTCAGTCTCACTCGTGACTGGGCCAGAGTAATGATGTTTCACAAGCCATGGGCTCGCTGAGATGCCGATCAGTCATATCTGGGATAATAAGAACGCTGGCAGCACAGGGGCAACAAAGAACACGTGGCATCACAGGTCTGCAAGGCTTGGTAAATGTTACAAGCTTTACAACTCTTAGTTCCTATCTTACTGCAGATCATCTCAAAGTAATTGTTGTCTCAGGGTCCCCACTCTCTGTGAAAAGGAAAAGAAA